TTTCCCATTTTGCCCTTGTAGTTTGGGGTACATTAGATATTAGGATTTTATTTTGTATTTTTATTTAGCCTTTGTATTATGGGGCAAAATTAGTCTTAGGATTTATTTTAGGACTTAAGCCTTATTTTTAAGGTCAAAAGTCCATTTCTTTTTTTTTTGACATAAGGGTACTTACCCGTTATCCAAACCAGAACGGCCCGTTCTGCTTCTCCAATTTTGGGCATTTTTCTTATTCCGGAACGGCCCGTTTCACTTTTGAAATGGCCCGTTCCGGGCAACGAATTGGGCCTACGGCCTAGTGAAAATTGGGCTGTTACAATCAACCTCACTTTTGTAAGAAAATAAGATGAGAGTGTAGTTTTAGGGTTATGTAGTACAAGGATAATTAAAATATTTAAGAAATATTATTAAACGGGTACCCACGTGTATGGATATCATCATACCCGCCCCCGCCCCGTTTATAAACGAGTAAAAAATTATCCGTCCCCATTATCCATGGATACCCAATTAACCTATCCATTTATTATCCGTAGTGGATTTTACTCGCAAATACCCGTGGGTTCGGGTATTTTTGCCATCCCTAGGTGTAATTTAGTTGAAAGAGTCTTATAATTAGAGACTAAGGTAATATTATTTTAGAAAATTTATTTTAAATTTTAATTAATATATATAAAGTCTTTAATTTAATTATTATTACTCATAAAAATATATTTTAAAGTAACTAAAATAAAAATAGTGTTATGTACATACGTAATAGCTTATTTCTTAATTTTATCATTGATTATTAATTAAAATATAATATTATAAATAATTTTAAATTGAAATTTTATATTTTATTGATTAAAATAAATAAGTTTAGGGATAAATATTAGTATAATATTTAACGTTATTGTTGTAATATTTATATATCTAATTTTCTTGGATTAAAAATATATATAATTTTTCTATCATTTTTTTATTTTGGAATACACATTATTCGTTTTATTTATTAGAATTATATAATAAATATTATTAATGTTAAAATTTAATTATATCATTTGATAAGATTAAGAAACTGTATAATAAGACATGTGACACCCTCTACCCCAACATATATATATATATAATAATAAAAAGAAATATCTTATTGGATAAAAAAATATTTAAAATTGAAACGACAATTCTAATAATTATGTGAGTAGAGAATTTACATTCATGTACTTAATTCAAATAGCAAATAAAATTATAAAGAATAAAAATTAAAATTTCCAAAATATATACTTTAATAAAACATAACAACATCATATTCTAATTCTATCTATATCCCGATGTCACATGTCCTATCAGAGCAAAATCCCACATAGAAGCCTAAGCTCCATCGTCCACATCCTCAACCTCATGCTGCTGATGGTCTCCTGTATATCAAACAAGAGAAACAACACAAAAGAAGGGAGTGAGAAACATCTCACTCTGGCTCACGGTGTAGGAACGCACACCGGATAGCCAAACACAAACAATACAGTTACCTCATAGATCAATCAACAACAATAGCTTATCCAATCATCCAAGTCATACAAATAGTAATTTATCATCATTTAATAATAAGAATGCACATGCATGGACACAGACTACATATTATCATGCATGTGGCGCCAGTAAAACATCACATGGCATATTGCCGCTAGCAATACACGAAGAGTAGTCTAGGAGTACATGTCGGGTCACACCCTCTGCGCATTCTCACTAGAAGGATATATTATCAGAGTCTCGTCGGGATAGCTAAGCCGCGCAAGATTCATCCCATGCACACAATGGGCGAGACTGAGACTTCTAAACTGAGCTATCTCCAAGGACTAATCCCCAAAGCTTTTACACTAGGGGGCCTTCTCTGGCGGTGTATTCCATATCGTACCCTTAAAACATTTATGCAAATGATGCATGTCAAACAAGACTCTATGCATTAACACATCATCATATTTCATGTAACATTATCGTTATTCTCGCTTCTCATATTTCATATTCACGTTTCGCATCATGGTTACGTAATTTTTGAAATTTCAAGGCATTCATAAGCATTTTAATTCACAACAACACTCACCCATTTGCAAAACCAAACACATATTCACACATCTCTTTTAATAGGGAATATAACGGAACAGACAGAAGGCAAAACAGAAATATTCCTATTTTGCCTGCTGCTCATAGGATTCTCTCAAGAACCCATAGAGCGTTCCAATTTATGTAATAATAAACATTTAAAATAAGATAATTCATGTATATAATTATTATCACAATTAATTTACTCATACAAACACCAATGCACTCCATTAGGATTTTTCGTAGGAACCCATAGGAGCACCAAATTCCACAATCATAGCCTAAACAAAGTTTCTATTCATACATGCATATTAATTAAGTAATTGGAACATAAAAGAAAAATATAACATGCAACAAACACAGGATTGGGGGCAAATCCCACTACCCAATATACAATCCCACACCCAGAGCGAGGTTTCTCACTCCCCCCTTACCTCGATAAATAGGGGTTGAAACTGAAGCAGGATCTCCTCCTCCGGGTTCCCACCTTGGTCTCCAGAAAGTGTAGAAGCAAAAGGTCAAAAGTGAAAAAAATGCGTTTTTCTGGAGTGCTAGAACGCATTTATAGGCATCAATATTTGGCCAGAACGGCTCGTTTCGAATCCAGAACGGCCCGTTCTGGACACATAGAACATGTACAAAAGCCTCTCCCAGAACGGCTCATTCCAAAACCAAAACGGCCCGTTCTGAGTCAATACTTTGTTCTTTAAAACCACATCCGGAACAGCACGTTTCCAAATTGGAACGACCCGTTCCGGGGCTATGAAAATCCAGAATTACTAATTAATAAATAATATATATATATATATCAAATTAAAATAAAATATCAATACAATTTAAAACATGATTTTCTTCAAATAACAATTATAACAAAAATATCATAATTAATAATATTATACAAAATAATTTTCATAAATGATTACTATTAAAAACCTTTAAAAATTTAATCAAACTCATTTAATTAATCAAAATAATTATAAGGAAATAATCTTCATAAATACAAAAATAAATAATAATTATTCGTAGTATTAGTAGAAAAATTCAGAGTGTTACAAGATAACAAGAAATTCCCAAAATTTCCATCATAAATAACTAGCTAACAAAATCATCATTTACACTTTTTGATTTTTCATTATCTCCAAGAACATAAATTAATTTTTCAAAAATCACTCGCAAAAACAATTAAATGTCATTATATAGATATTTGTTTCTACTAAAAAGCAATTAGCTAGGGAGAGTTGGTGAGGGTGACAAAAACCTGCTCAAGTTAATGCTATATATCAATATTACTAAGCCCATGACCATGTAGGAATGTGATGATGGTTACTAAAACCCCAACCTTATCCTATCAATAATGCTGTCACAGAACAGTCCAGCTGTTTCCTATCATATTTCTTTCCTTTAAATTTAAGGACTGCAAACTCAACCCTAACGCAAAAGGAACGGAAACAAAGCAATCCATGCATATCAAGCAATGTGCAAATTCTATATAATTCTAGGCAACAAATTAAACTTCACTTCTAACGGGTCTGAACACATTAGAATGGGAGGAATTCAAAAATTATATAAGTATAAGATTGTATAGTTAAGGATAACTTAAAAGAATTAATTTGTACTACCTATATAAATAAGATGTATTTACTTTTCGATAACTTATCCCATAAGAACTTTACAATTAAATGTGTTTAACTTAGAGTAATTTAGAGATGAGTAACCTTCTAGAAAGTTTCTCAAAAAGTGTGAGTATAGACAAAACACACCGAAAAATCTTGTATTTGTTTGTGAGGTTAATCGTTGATCATCTCAGAAAGGGTTATTCATGAATGATTTTGACAGTGAAAAATTATGTGAAATGTCATCACACATGTGAAGTATCATGGAATGGAACCGATAAGATGTCAAATTTGACTCATTTGAGGGATGTTACATCACTCATGAATATAATACTTTTTATTTTAAAAACTTTTTCACATATATAGGTATTTAGGTTATATTATATTCATACATTCCTTTTCTTTTAGAATTTACTTCCATCTTTTTCTTCATTTTTCAATACATTATTTGTCAGAGGTTTTTTTTTTCTTTTTCCATTATTTCTTCCTATCTGTCTCTTTCATTCACCCATATATCCCAACTTTGAGGTATGCGATTAGTTTTTTCCTATATTTTAATTTAAAGTGAACGGAGAAAATTATGATAGAGGAAACATTTGATTTTGATATATATCTTCCCCATTAAATTAAGTATAAAGGACTTTAATAACCGAGTTAAGTAACACCATTCAGTGACAAATCTTTGCATTCAATTTGATTAGAGGACTAATTATATATATAAAAAAAATTAATTTGTTATGTTGAAAATGATATGTAGTTCTCATAAGATAACAGCTGTATCCAGTTAAGTTGAACTTAATGTTATTTTTTTCCTTCAAAAAAGAAAACTTTATGTTTTTCTGAGGTATAGTTGAATCCTGCTTCCAAATAAGGAGTCTCATTTCGTTAGCCGCAATATAGTAATCCATTGTAGATCAATTCAAAAATATAAACTTGCAAATTTAGAAAGCATGTCACCCATCATTCTGTATCTTCGAGACACAAACAAAAAGATCAGGAATGTTTCTTAGAAAGAATTATTTCTTATGAAACGGAGCAAGGATAGAAAATTCACTTTATTAATAATGAACCGTGTGCCACGTAAATAAAGAGTCTATTTAGATACATAAAATAACAAATTGAGTAAGTTCATTATAAGAATTTATTCAGATTTAAGTTTATGAAATTTTTGAAATTTTTTTTATTGAAAACAAAAAATTATTTCAATAAAAAAAAATTCAAAATTTCTTCTAAACTTGTATCTAAACATATTCTAAGTTATATCCGATTTAACTTTATAAAAAGGAAAATACTAACAACACATTTGAAAAATACTAAAACACACCTTTTTTTATATTATTTTATGTGAGTATGAATGTAAATAATTAAGGGCATTTGTGTCTTCCTCCGTGGGTAGTCATATTTGCATAGCATGGACACTCATCGTAGTTACCGGAAGTACCCGAAGGCACACAATTGCATCGATCACAGCACGTGCCGCATGCTCTCTTACACAGGTTTTGTCTCGATGATAACTCACACCTTCTTTTGCATTCACCATCACAATCTTCATTACATTAAAATAAAACACCCACTTCAATAGATAATATCAACTTACAAAAGAAAGATGTTTGATTGTTCGTGAAAGTATCATTGCTTTTGAAACACCAACAAATTAAATGAATTTTTTTTTTCCTTTTATAAACTGAAGCTGAATGTTTAAAAATTTTAACTATTAAAACATCATACTTATATGGTGTTAAAGATTAACTTGACTGATTACTAAAAGAACTTGTACCTATCTTTGGCGGGGCAGGACTAGAACTTGATCCCTCGAGTGTGTTCCAGATTACCTGATATTTAAATAATAATAAAAAGAGTTTATATTGAATTAAGATTGATAGGGGAAAATAATATTTATAAAAATAAATTAATGGGAATGATAGGTATAGTTTACCATTGTATTTGACTCCACAAGATTTAGAATGACTAGAGAAATGAGGATTGAAGCCATGAGAGCCTTGGAGAAGGCCATGGCTTGAAGATGGGAATTTTGATTCTTTTAGCAAATCAAAAGGCTTTAGGACTTGCAGTGGTGTGAGAGAAATGTTGTTGTTGTTGTTGCATTTATAGTCCATGTTGAACATTTCTACAGTATTTAATGAACAATAAGTTCCTTTTTCTTTTTCATAAAGCTAGAGATCGAAGTGTGTCCGAGACTTCTAAAATAAAGAAGATCGTCTTTTTTCTCTTTCTTCTTCTTGTAAGTATATTATTAGTAAGAATTTATCAGTTTTGTTAATGATTAATTTTTATTATAAAATTTGATTGATTATCTGAGTAAAATTTTTCATTTCAAAACATATTTTTTTTCTCTCTCTACAAGACTCACTCTAGAAGTTAATTTGCTAAAGGAGATTTAATCTAATTTTGTTGGGATCAATAACTTGTTGATTAATTGTGTTCTTTTACATAAAAAAAACAAATATATATCAATAGTGTAAAAAAATTATATTTTTATTCGATTATATAATATTTTTGTACAGTAAATTAAAGTTGATTAATTTTTATAATAATTTACATAAAATTTACAAATTGGTGAATAATACAAAATCTTTTACATGAGAGAACATTCAAATTAAAGTACTATTTTATAAAAATATGGTCTGTTCGTTACATTTCATTATCATATATCCATTGGTTATGGTATTTCGTTTATTAATTTTTAACGAATTCAATTTTACTAAAAAGGAATGTAGTTAACTAATCGTGAAATAAAAAGAATTAAGAAAAAGAACAATAAAAAATTCCTTTAAAATAAATTGTGATAATTACAAATTATGTTTTGTTTAGTAACAAAAAAATAATTATGTTTTGTTTTGGGTTCTTTAAACGAATTTATGTGAAGTGATAAAATTTCTACCGGATGATTTTGATTGCCATCATGGGTGGTCCATCATCTATTCGTTCGTATATGGAGAAATTATTAGGTCACATAATATATAATTAAGTGTTATTAAGTTTTTTTATATAATATATAATTACATTTTAATTGTTTTTTTTATAAATTAAAAACGCAAATATATATTATATAGTTATTGATTAAAATTAATTATGGATATTTAATAATTTTAAATTATTTAATAATTTCTCCTATATATTGTGCTCAATGGTAAATCAATATATATTTTATAATGTGACAATAAATTTTTTTTTAATATTTTCATATAAAAATTTATTATAATTTGCAAAATATATAAAAAAAATTCTATAATATACAAATAATACTGATAATACCATGAATAATTAATATTAATTCATCAATATATTATTAATATTAATAACATATATTGTTTATTTAGCAATAAATATAAGTGCAATTATGGTTTTGTACATATATTACATTTTTTATTTATACATTAAAAAAAATTAGTTTAGTAGTTAAGTTTTAGTAAGCAAGTCGCAATCAACATGTGAATTCGACCAAGCCGACTTAAATTTAAAAATAACTAAAATTATTAATTATCTAATATATATAATACATAATATCTAATATGTATTGCGTCTTATTACATAGAGTATATATA